GAGACACATAGTGTCAACATTTAGTCTTACGTATTTTAGTTTAAGGTGCAGACATTTGATCAGTGCCAGCCGTGTGCCAGGATCCGCGTTGCTGGTAGAAATCCTACCGTGACTGTGACAGAGCTGACAGGAAGGGGCAGTGGGGTGGTTGGGACGCAGCGCAGGGGCAGAGTGAGCCTGTGCGGGGAGAGGCAGGGAGTGTCCCCGGCATTCGGAGGAGGAAGGGGCCCGGAGCTGTGAGGAGCTTCTGCGAGCAGAGGAGGAAGAGCCCCAGTGTTCCTTATTGTTCTCCGGACATGATAAGCCAGCATATGAAACTTTGGCTATTTTGGTCATTTGCCATTTTCCTGCCTGTGTGCAGGATTTCCTCATCTCCCCGTGTGGGTTCTGATGAAAGGAGAGGCCTGGAGACCTGGCGTGGGATGATTTCCTCCCGGGGGCAGGAAGGCCGGGAATTATCGGGAGCCAGCAGCGGTGTGGGCGCTGCTTTCTACGCACATCTCTCCCGGTTCTCCAGAAGCATTGTCTTCCCATTGGTGTCTTCTGCTTCCCTCGTTCGGCTCAGATGGCAGGCGACCAAGTTTGCATAGTTTGTTTTTTATTAAGGAAAGCAGCAGTTTTCTTTGTATATCTTTATATAATAAGATTTTCCATATTTTTAAAATTATTTGAAATTCTGACTCATAGCTACCACATAACTTGCCATAAATGGTCGTAGATTTGTAGCTAGATATGGGATGTGTGTGTCCACACGTGTGCCTGGCCTGTATGGAACGTACTGTGTGCTGTGCTTGTGGGCGCTGCTGTATTTCTCCAGTTTGTCCAATTGATTAATGTTATAAGGTCAGTTGGGAAATGGGATTGAAAATAAAGTAAATAGTTACGTTTCCCTGGAGCACAAATAAGATGAAATTGCTAAAGACTACTCTTTCATTCTTTTCTTTTCTCCACAGAACCATCCGAGTATGGCTGAAAAGAGACAGTGGGCAGTACTGGCCCAGCATTTACCACACCATGGCCTGTGAGTAGCTGAACTGTTCCACTTGAGGGGCGTATGTCTAATGCCTTTGGTGATTCAAATTTCAAAATGCCTGATTAAAAAGTGCTACTAGAGGGGCATCTGGGTGCCTGTCAGTTAATTGTCTGACTTGATTTCGGCTCAGGTCCTGATCTCAGAGTTGTGCGATCGAGCCCAAATGGGGCTCCATGCTCAGCGGGGAGTCTGCTTGAGATTCTCTCTCTCCCTCTGCCCTGCCCCCCAGTAAATAAATTAATAAAATATTTTTTCTAAAAGTGTGCTACTATATTTCAAAATGGGTTTCTTAGTTGCCTAATACTCCAACAGGCTGTGCTAAACTGCAGGAAAACTTTTCTTTGGCAAAGGAAGTCAGGTCTGCTGGCTTAACTGAAGCTGACTTGAGCAAAACTGAAAAAAAAAGGAAGAGGCAGGGGGAGGGGCGTGCCTCACTGCCCCCAGGTTTTCCTTTGTTTTTATTTTGCCAACCTGTATTCATAATGACTGTGTACTTGGTGGTGGCTGAGGCTGACACTAAAAAAGAGCCCTGTACTCCCATGCCCTCATAACCAGCCTTCTGCCCAACCTTTTCACAAACTTCCGGGTACTACTGAGAGATTGGGTCCAAAGTATAACGCGTTCTACATAGAGAATTTTCTCAATAGTTAAATATGTTCACAAAATAAATCTAGAAGATAAAGCTTTTGCATTGAGATTTTAAAAGAACCCTGGGAGGCAGTGACCTAAATTATAAGTTCCAGCCCTCCGTGCAGATGTGACAGCCCCCCCATCTGTCCCTGCCCCCCCTTCTCCTCCTCCTCTCTTGAAAAGAAAGCCCTGGACGGAGGCCTGGATGCCCCCCGGGCCCACCCTGGGGTTGGGTCCTGCTACCCCAAATAGCCACATGGAAGGCACCATAGCTCTGCTCACTCCCTCGTGTGGTGTTGGTCCTTAATGAGGAATTTTCCTCAACTAAGGGTTTCAGTATTCAGAGGACCCCTGAGAAGAAAGAGAGAAAAGAGGCGCTGGGGCCTGCCTGATGCTTTGTTCCTTCTGAAGACCATGGTCAGGTCCTCCAAGGAAGAACTCTTGCTGGTCGTTGTAGACACTGTTGACAGCGTTCCCAGCCTTCTCAAGAGTTAGTCCAGAGGCAGTAGAGTGTGTTACAAACCCAGAACAGCCAATTTTTCAGCATATTCTGAGTAGTCAGTCTGGGTCATTCTTCTGAGTGCCTCCTTTCTCGGCTGGCGCTTTCTCCTTCGTACGTCTGTTCCAGTGTGCGTGCACTGTTCGGATCCTGTGATCACATTCAGAAAAATTTAGGAGTCAATCAGGAGCTGGATTTTTCCTGCCTTCCCCGGACAGCTTGTGCAGGCTGCTCACCTTGCCTGTCTTGGTGGTTAAGCAACGAACATGAAGACTCTGTGGACTACTGCTGTGAAGATAACTATTACAAAAGGAGCCATACGGTTCTACAGCATGTACCCTCTGAGAAGCCTCCCTGAAAACCTACCCATGACATTTGGTGCCAGGCAGTAGCCCCTCCTGCTGCCCGCGTCCGTGCAGATGGGGCGCATAACCTTGCTTACTCACTCTCAGTGACGACGACCTGGTGTCTTAGTCTGTGTACTCAGAGAGCCCGCTGAATAAATTTTCAAATCAAACTTTGGTTGTTTTGGAGCAGGGCAGAGCATCTCTCAGATGGATGATTCCTTACTTCCGGTGGCCCAGGGATGGGTCTCCCCGCTAGAAGTAGCAGCGGCCTGAGGAAGTCCTGCTAGTGCTGGGGGGGTGTTTTGTCATCTTTGTGGACAGTCTTGTTCACGCTGTTGCTCTTCTTCTTCCTTCCCCTCCATTCCTCCACACCTCACGTTTCGGGCATAGCTTCACGTCCTTGCATCCTCAACCTTGGAGTTCCTGCTCCCTGGAATAGAGACTGAGATGGATTTTGTCCTATTTTTAGTTTACCTACTCCTCAGTTTGTATTTAGCCCAGAGAGTTAGTACAGCTGTGGACTTTCTCTCCTCAAATTTAGCAGAAGTGTGCACTCTTCCTTAGCTTTTAGGTCTTGAGCTCGTGGCTTTGGCTCTCAGTTGCCCTCCCTAGCAGTTGCTAACTTGGCTTAAACGTACCCCCTGGAAGCAGTTTCCGGAAGGCTGTGTCTGGAAGGACCGGCAACAACTGGAAAGAACAGGCATAGCATCGTTGTGGGTGGCCGACACCCACGTGTTTGCACCTAGACATACTCAACTTGTTGCTTCCAGATGCTTCTTTACTGTGCCTTACAGTTCTGTCTGGAACTACACCACTGAGGAGACTGTAAGAACACTGCCTGCAGAGAACAGAATGAATGAAATTATGAGAAATGACTGCTCTACAATGACTTTTAATTGAAAACCGAATTCAAAATATGAGAAGTGTCTTGTTCTAAAAACTGTCTACAGATTATCCAGTTGAGGACATTTTAGTGACTGTCCACCAGTTTTAACTTTTCCTTGTGACCTAACAGAGTGATCAATAAGCCAGACCTTAGTGTATTGCTCTGTGCGATCCAGTTGTTTCATAACTTTGCCTCACGTAACAAAAATAACTTTCAGAATCTGCTTTAGCTGAAGAAGAATGGTAACTCCTAGTTTCTGTAATCTACTCTGTGACTCATGCCTATTTTTTGGTAATACCACTTTATGAAATCACACAGCTGTACAAGGTAGATGATTTTTTCACCATTTGGTAAGTGAGAAAACTAATGGCAGAGGGGTTGAGTCAGTTGCTTGTGGTGGGAATTCGGTCCATGCCCATTGGATTCCAGAACTGTGCTGCCCACTAGTGTTCTCTGCAAAGGGCCAGCCTGTAAATATCTAGACGTTGTGGGCCAAACAGTCTCTGTGGCAGCCACTCAACTCCGCTGTCGCAGCGCGAAAGCAACCATAAACAATACATAAGTGAAGCAGCCTGGCTGTATTCCAAAAAAACAGAAATACCTTTATTTACAAAACTCGAGTTTGAAGCATATGATTTTGGATTGCGATGATGCCTTTTTAAAAGGCCGCTGATTTGAAAGATGATTTGTGTTTTACGTGTTTATAAAACTATGAATATCCAATTTTTTTTTTTAATTAATACTGCTTATCTCGTTAGAAGCTTCCTTTCTAGGAAAAAAAACCCAGGACATCTTTACATACAGAGTAAATAAATTAGGGAAGCTTTTTTTTTTTTCTCTTTTTTAAATGTGGGAATTCTCTAGCCTCATAAAACTACTCAGCACATTGTAAATTTTACACGAGAGCATGTTACATATTTATGGATAGTTTGTTCCAGGGTTGGACATAAAAAGAATTGAAAAGAAGCTGAAAACTAAAGCATTAAGATTTTTGTACCAACCTAAAAGTAAGCAAAAATGGTGACGATGAATCAGAAATCACCAACGCATGTTTGATTTGCCAAAGATAATTTTATGATGGTTATTGAAGAGTACTTTATACGAAGAAGATACATACACCTTTGTGATTATAATTCTTAAACTCGATCATTCTTTTTTAGAGAGAGAGAAAGAGAGGCAGAGGGAGAGGGAGAGAGAGAATCTTAAGCAGGCTCCACACCCAGCGCAGAGCCTGCCGCAGGGCTTGATCTCACGATCTGAGATCATGACCTGAGCCGAAGTCAACAGTCGGATGCTCAACCGCCTGAGCCACCCAGACGCCCCTCGATCATTCTTTATAGTCTCCCACTTCAGTGTGGTGGGTGAGGGGTCCAGGCTTCAGTCACGTGTGATTGTTTTGTGTGCAGACCCTGCAGCACCTCCCTACCAGCGGGGTAGTTCTCTGAATGCACCCGAGAAAAACCTCTTTCCGTAACCTGATCACGCAGCTCGCTGTGTCTTTGCCTTCAGGTGCGGTCCAGCATTAGTTTACTTTCGTCCTTCAGTGGAAGATATCAGCCCTTTGTAGAGAGAAAACTTTAAACTGTTTTCAAATGGTAACGGCATTTATGAGATTTTTTTCTTTTACTTTTTTAGAAGAAGTGTTACCTTAAAGTAAACTCGAGTTTGTTTGTTTCATAGTATGTATTCCCTTGTTGTGGTTCTCCCATAGTCAAACTTCTTTAGGCTGAAATGAACCCAAATATTTCTTTTTCCACATGTTCCATTTTCCAAATCACTTTAATTCTAATTTTTAGCAGAAGGAGATGATCTAGAGTTTCTCCTTTCTGAAACTCTGGCCCAAGCTTTCTGGAAGAAAGACAGGTAGAACCTGGAAGGGGATATGAACACGAGAGGAAGCAGGTACTATTCCAGACACATAATACTGCTGTGGACAAAGAAACATGCGTGTATACACCTCACAACTCTGCTTACTACAAACTGAGGTTGTGTATGTCATGGGAAAGGGAGCCTTTCCTCACCATTGGAAGAGAACACGTAATCCCAAAGTGGCTTTCCTAGCTTGCTCGCATGTACGGTCCAATGGGAATTCTGGTGCTGGGAACTCCTTTTCTACAGATTCCAGCCACTCTGTTACCTGTGAGGGGGAAGAGGAGTCGGGGCAGGATGGCCTCCTGAGTTTGGGTAACAGATTACTCATTCTAAGCACTGGCCCCCGTGCTCTGCAGCCTACAGGTAGGAGTTTCAACCAGATGAGACTTCATGCTGGCTTGCTTCCCTCAAAGTCATAAAAATAATGTAGAACGTTTTTTGAATTGGAATTTTAAACTAAAAGAAAGAACGTCAGTAACATTTTCCATTTACATCATTATTTTTTAAAATTTTATTATGTTATGTTAATCACCATACATTACATCATTAGTTTTTGATGTAGTGTTCCATGATTCATTGTTTGCGTAGAACACCCAGTGCTCCATGCAGAACGTGCCCTCTTTAATACCCATCACCAGGCTAACCCATCCCCCCCCCCCCCTCCCCTCTAAAACCCTCAGTTTGTTTCTCAGAGTCCATAGTCTCTCATGGTTCATCTCCCCCTCCGATTCCCCCCCCTTCATTTTTCCCTTCCTACTATCTTCTTCTTCTTCTTCTTCTTCTTCTAACATATAATGTATTATTTGTTTCAGAGGTACAGGTCTGTGATTCAACAGTCTTACACAATTCAAAGTGCTCACCATAGCACATACCCTCCCCAATGTCTATCACCCAGCCACCCCATCCCTCCCACCCCCCACCACTCCAGCAACCCTCAGTTTGTTTCCTAAGATTAAGAATTCCTCATATCAGTGAGGTCATATGATACATGTCTTTCTCTGATTGACTTATTTCGCTTAGAATAACACCCTCTAGTTCCATCCACGTCATTGCAAATGGCAAGATTTCGGGTTTTTTGATGGCTGCATAATATTGCATTGTGTGTGTATGTATATATATACACCACACCTTCTTTATCCGTTCATCTGTTGATGGACATCTTGGCTCTTTCCATAGTTTGGCTATTGTGGGCATTGCTGCTATAAACGTTGGGGTGCAGGTGCCCCTTCGGATCACTACATTTGTATCTTTGGGGTAAATACCCAGTAGTGCAGTTGCTGGGTCGTAGGGTAGCTCTATTTTCAACTTTTTGAGGAACCTCCATGCTGTTTTCCAGAGTGGCTGCACTAGCTTGCATTCCCACCAAGAGTGTAGGAGGGTTCCCCTTTCTCCGCATCCCCACCAACATCTGTCGTTTCCTGACTTGTTAATTACATCATTATTTTCTAAAAAACATTCTTGCCCTCTTTTTTAAACTTAAATTGTATAATAATGTATTTTGAACGATGACTTAGAATGCTTAGGTTTGCTTGTAATATGGTCTTTGTCTTTCTGGCAGCTCCCTGCTCTGCTATGGCTTACCATCATGATAGCAGACGGATATTTGTGGGCCAGGATAATGGAGCCGTAATGGTAGGTAGTTTTCAGAGTGTATTCGTTATATTGACCACCCTGTGTTCATGCCTGTTGGACAGTTTAAATAAAGAAAAGTGAATGCCTGATTGGCATAAAATATGTTTAATTCAGTATAGGCATTAGGCCTAAAAATAGATTAATTTTAATTTGGGCTTATTTTTAAACCAGTCATGGAGCTCAGAATGCTTTCATGATTGATGGTTTGGTGTTCAGCCTTCATACAGTGAATATATGGTCTGCAGCAGCCTCGTCCTTGAACCATGAGGGGTTAGCTGGGGCAGGGAGGGCACAGTGGAGAGCCTGTGGGTGTTCGCGTGCGCACGTTGTGTATGTGTGTGTATATGTGTAAGTGTAAGTAACAATGGAGGGGGAAGGAGAACAAGGTCAGTGACTAATCATTCAGCCAACAACTCCTATAACTCTTTAAGGCAGTGCTTCTCAAACTAACTCTGGTGAAGGACCAGATATTTAAAAGTTCAGTTTATTACAGATTGGTAGGTATTTTTGTGGGTCTAATTGTGTGGGTGTGTGAATATGTATGTTTTCTTAATGGAGATGTAATTCACATAAAATTCACCATTTTAAGGTAATGCAATTCACTGGGTTTGTAGTATATTCACAGATTATACAAACATTAACATTCTCTAATTCCAGAGCATTATCATCACCCCCCCTCCCCCAAGAAACCCATACCCATTAGCAATCAGCCCTCACTCCCCCTTCTCCCAACTCCTGGCAATCACTAATCTACTTTCCGAGCCCAGAGATTTGCCTATTTTAGACATTTTATGTGAATAGAATCACATAATGTGTGTTGCCTTTTATGTCTGGCTTCTTTCACTTAGCATGACGTTTCCAAGGTTCATCCATGTTGTAGCTTGAATTAGCACCTCGTTCCTTTCTGTGCTGGAGTGGTATACTGTGATATGGGCGTAGTAGCCCTTCACGACCCTTTGTGTTTCTGTAAGGTCGGGAGTCCGGTCTCCCGTCATTCCTGAAGTTAGCGGTTTGAGTCCTCGCGCTGTTTGTCACTCCAGCATTTCAGTTGCATCCATCTTTTCAAAGAACCAGTTTTGGTTTCATTGGTTTTTTTCTTTTGTTTTTCCTATTCTGTGCTTATTTATTTCAACTCTAATTTTATTATTTTCTTCCTTCTGTTTGCTTTGGGTTTAGCTTGCTGGATTGATATTTTTGATACTACATTGTTGGATGAGAAAGTCCACAGATTTCATCCTTGGGTGTCATAACAATATGAAATTGCTGTAAAGGTTTCTGAACACTCACTGCCTATTTCCCCTTCTCATCGGGACCAGCCATCTGCAGACCACACCGAGTAGCACTGCTTTACGAATAGAAACAGTAAGAATGAGACTTCGCTAGTGGGAGTCCAGTAAGTGTAAGATGACGTAGTAAGTACAGCCCCACAGAGGGCAGAAATTGCTGTGAGTGTGCACACGGTCCTCCAGGCAGAGCATCTGGAGAGGGCTCGCGCAGGCTTACTAACGTGCCAAGTCCTAGAGGATGGCAAGGAGCTCTCCGGGTGGGGCAGGTGGAGAAGGACCTCCAGACGCCGAGGAGGCGGGGGGCTGTGTGCAGGGAACAGCAGTGAAGCGCATCACACACCCACAGCTGAAGAGGCAGCGGGAGTGGGTCACGGAACGCCTTGCATTTGAATCGGTCTTCAGCTCTATGTGTTGAGCAGAGTGCCAATGGAGAAGAAAGTAGATGCGGTCCTGCTGGGCTGGTGGGCTTGGGGGGTGCTTATGGTCTAGCGGGAAGTTCAGATAATACACAGGTAAATAAGCATCAAGTTGCAAGTTGTGGTAAGCGCTGTGGAGACGTGAACAGGTGCAGTGAGCAAGACCATCCAGAGGGGTTTGCGGCCCCACTGAACAGGGTTATCGGGAGGGCTGCTCCATGACATTTCAGCTAAGACCTGGAGGGTGGGAAGGAGTCGGCCAAGCAGAACCAGAGTAGGTTTTCCAGAAGTGAATGTCCACGTGAAGACTCGAGGTGGGAACATCTCTGTGTGTTTGAGGCTTCGGTGGAGGTTATCATGCTGGATGGTGCTGAACGCCGGGGAGGGGCCGAGGGGTGAGGAGAGATGCAGGCTGGAGCCAGGTCATGCCGGGCATGGAAGGTCTGGGTAGTGTTTTAAGTTTAGTTGTAGACGCTGTGGGAAGCTCTTACAGGGTTTTCAACAGGCGAGTGACATGATAGAATTTACACCTTTAAAAGATCCCTCTGGCCAGTGCTCGGTGCAGAATGGATCATTATGGGGGAGGGAGAAGCGGGAGTGGAAGCTGGATAGTCAGGCTATTGTGGCCACCTGGATGAAAGGGTGGTGATAGCGAGAGTGGACAAAAGCAGATTGATTGGTGAGGTGCATTGGGGAAAGGTTGGGCGTGCGGAGGGGAGGAAGAAGAAGAAGTTGGGTGATGGCCAGCTTTCTGGCTTGAGTAACTGGGTGCACAGTGGTATCATTTACTGAGAGGAGGAAGACTTGGGAATGTGTGGGGAAGGGGCATTTGGAAGGAAAGGGGACAACAAGGGACCAACCAACTAACTGTACACTTGAGAGACCAGGGGGCTAACCAGTGGCCGTGGGAAGTCAGCATTGGATACACAAGTCCACGGCTCAGTGGGAGCCTGGGCAGGGGGGGTCATCAGCATGTAGGGTATTTGTTAAGCTGTAAGAATGGTTGTGTTTACAGCCATTCACATGAATGAGAGGAGACAGGGCCCGGGCCTGTGTCCTGAATAACAGCATTTAGGAGTGGGGTTAGTGGGGAAGCCCACCAGGGAGAAGGGGAAATCATGATCCTTCTGTGTGTGTTAAGGAGCTGACTATATCCTGTAAGCAAGTTACCCCAACTTACATAGTCCTACGCATCATTTAGGGAACTAAATGGGATACATGTTCTCTGGTTCCACACCAGACCCACAGCTTCAGAATCCCTCGGTGGGGGGTCTGGGAGTCAGTATTTTAGCAAGTCTTCCAGGTGAATGTTGGCTCACAACCTTGGGAGCTTCCCAGGTGAAATCTGAAACCAGTCCCCAAACTCGGAGGGCAGGGAGAGACCGAAGAAAGAGGCAGTCCACTCCAGATTGCTGAGTGGGAGGTTTAATGAGCAAGGGAGCTTATATATGAAGTTTGTCTTGAGTGGCTGCAAGATGAGTAAATCTCTGCCCCCACCCACCAGAGTCTTAAAAGTTTATATAGAGGCCTTAGCTGGGTTCAGTCATGTATATCGTCCAGATGGCCCCAACACCACATCACTGTCAAGGCTATGTGCTTGGGACAGCCTCTGGAACAGGGAAGGCAAGTGGGACACACATACCAAAGACGGGGAAGGGTTGAGGAGCCTCTTGACGGCTGACTGCCACTGCCCAGCTCATGGGTCAACAAGAGAGGTCAGTGACCTCTCTGAACAGTGAACCTTAGGGTCAAGTGCATTAGGGGGGAGCCATTGAAGAGCATTAAGCGGGGACGACAGAGTGGTTGGGTTTCTGTTTTTGTGAGCTTAATGTGCCAGTGTGTGGAGTTTGGGGGGACAAGGCTGAAACTGAGGCGTCCCAGTTAAGAGTCTGTTTCAGGACTCCCAGCGGGACACTGTGAAACGCTGGGGTAGTGTTGGAGAAGAGGTGTTGGCTTTGAGAGCTTTCTGGGAAGCAGACTTGATGTCTAGTTGGATGTGGGTGTTTTGTAGAGAACGGTGTGAAGATGGCTTCTAGAGTTTTAGCAGGATGGTGGTGGTGAGTAGTCAGCTATGCTCTAAGACAGAGAAGATGTGATGTAGAGGGAAAGGTGACGAGGTCAATATTGACAGTTGGGTACATGGGCCTGAACCTCAGGGTTTGGTCTGGAATAGGGGTTGGGAGTTCTCTGAATATAGAAGTCCGTGGAAACTGCAGCAGTGGTTGGCCTCAACTAGGGAGAGCAGATAGACCGAGAGGAGCAGAGAGCCAAGGTTACCCTCCCTAGGAATATCAGTATTTAAGGGAAAGTCAGAGACTGGGAGCCCATGGGGGAGACGGAGGCAGAATGGGCAGAGTGGGAGGAGAGCCAGCCAGGACGCTGGGCCACGGAAGCCGGAGAGGCAGTGAGTTTCACGTGGGGGTGAGTCACAGTGTCAGGTGCAGTGTCAGGGGCAGCAGGGAGAGGATGAGGTCAGGCCTGGAAAATGACCTTGGGAGCGGCACTTAGCAGCTGGTGCTAAGCGAGGGAAGCCCTTTTCCTGCCGTGATGGTGGCGTGTGTGCAGTGGGTCGTCAGTGTGGGCTGATCTTTAGAGAAGGAGCTGAGGAAAGTCGTAGAACTGCTAAAAGAGTTGTGTTGTTTTCTGCTTGTTTTGTTTCTGAAGTTAAAGGCTAAGAAGCCTTGAGTGTGTTTAAGTGCCAGGAAGGAAAAAGGCAGTGGAAAGGATAGGCTCTGTGCCCAAGCAGTTCACTCAGCAGTAGGCGGATGGTGACAGATGCAGGATTGGGCTCGCCCAGCTCTTTGCCATCAGCCTGGGACTGCTATAAATACCGTGGTAGTAGTAGATGCAAGTGTTCTCGTCTTTCTCCTTCTGGAAATTTTATGGGAATGTCATGGTGATGTGCATGCACATATATAACCAGAAGCCAAGAAGCAGTTTGTCCAGTGGTTGCACACTTTATTTCTCTAGGGACCCTACTTGTGGCTCCCGAGTCAAGGGTAGACTCTGTGATTATAGGACAGCATATAAAAATTCATAGCTCTTCAGTGCAAAGGGGCAATGTAAATCCGGTGTATCGTTCGTCAGCAATTGATCTTTGATTTTCCACCCAAAACAGATCAGTATATATACAATGATATATATACTAATACATTTATACTGTCCCCAATATGTATATATGTGTATATATATATACACACACAGTCAATATATATTAATACATATATATATACACATATATACTGATACATATTTGTACTATGCAATACCAGGTTGGAGAGCAAGGAATCAGTATTCCTGTGTGTGTGTGTGTGTGTGTGTGTGTGTTTAACAATTCATAATGTCCATGTTACTCAGAGCCTTAAGAACTTACCAGTTAGCATTGATCAATAGAATTCTTAGTGCGTTTTCTTTAGAGTTTTGTCTTCTTGGTTTTATGCTGAAGCTGATTTTTTCATTAAAAAGCATATACTTTTATTTTTTCCTACTTAAAAGTATTACATAGTCTATAAAAATTTTGTAAATACAAGAATATTAAAAGAAGCAAACCACTCACAATCTGTAAATTTCCCTTTTTTGTGTGTGTTCTATATGACATATGTATATTTTCGCCCTTACATTGCTGAGATTCCCAATGCCTTATTTTCACTGTAGCTGAGAACCCTATTTGTAACAGGGTCTTTGCAGTTTTGCTTTATGTGTATCATCTTGAGGAATACTCAGTGTAACCAAGAGAGCAAAATTAACAAGATCCCTCCTTTATAGTAGAAGGAAAGGGACTACAAAGCTTGGGCTTGTGGAGGAAGAACTGAGCAAAAATGCTGTGCTGGTCTGCAGCAACTTTATTCGGTCTGGTCCCCAGAAGAAATCGTGGCCTGAGGACAAGTCTGATGAAAGAAGCCATTCCATATTACTCTTTTTTTTAGCCCTTCATTTATTTTTTTTAATTATTGTGTTAATCACCATACATTACATCATTAGTTTTTGATGTAGTGTTCCATGATTCATTGTTTGCGTATAACACCCAGGTCTCCCTTGAGTGACTGTGGAGTCTGAAAAACAAACTGAGGGTCCATATTATTATTTTATAGCTAATCTCAAGGTCCTCGTCTGGTGATAGCTAGTCTTGGATTTTACTTTGTTTTGAAAGTTAAGTTCCTGTTTTTAAAACCGTGACTGTTTTCTTATTGCATGTGTTTACTTTTAGGAATTTCACGTTTCTGAAGATTTTAATAAAATGAACTTTATCAAGACCTACCCAGGTAATTATAATACACACACGTACTTGCATACACATGCATGTAGGTAGACACACACAAAATGAGAACACTGTCTCATGATCAAAATTAGGTCTTCACATTAACTTTGTGGATATGTTTCCCCCAGTTATATAGGATGCTGCCAACTCTTCAGTTATTTACCATCCTTTTCCTGCTTATCAATGTTTAAATTTTTGTATACTATTCCATTGGGTGCATTATCAGATGTAATTTAACCATTTTATTTTTGAGCATATGTGCTGCTTCCATTTTTTGGTAACACACACTAACATATATGACAATGTATATATATCTGTGAGTGTATATTTCATATATACATACATATGTGTGTACGTGTCCTTGACTCTGATTCTAATCCTGTAACCCTGGTTGCTTCTGTGTAAGACAAATTCCTAAAAGTGGCGTAACTGGGTCGAACATTAAAAAGTTTTTTAATGCTCTAGATTTATTTTACAAACTTCTTCCCAGCATTACTGTGAATTTTTACAGTCCCATGAGTGGTGGTTGAGGGTATTTGGTCATCCAGTCTGTCCAACATTGCTCTTACAAATGTTTTTTGCCTGTTTGATAGTCAAAATAGTCAATTTATAAATTATTTAAGCTTTGCTTAATGTCGATCATTTGTTATGTTTGGTGAATGTCTGTTCATGATTTTACCCATATACCTACAGAGTTGTAGTATTTTCTAATTAATTTATAAGAAAGAGTCCCTGGGTTCTTCCAAAGCAACCTATACAGCTGAGAGCAAGGTCAGAAGCTTCTCTGCCTAGCCTCTGACTTCATTCATCAGACTGGTGTTTATTAAACGCCTGTTGCATGCCAGGTCCTGTACTAGATGAAGTAGACTAGGTCCTCGTGTGGCTTGCAGTCAGCCTGCAAATGCAGACATTTCAGGAGTTAGGTAATAGAATACCTTCCTCATTCTCAGCTATTATTTTGGAATACAGAACTCTACAAATACTTTGTCTTTATAAATAATAAAAAGTTACACACAAATTGTTCCAGAAACAAAATGCTTACACTATTTTTTTTAATTTCAGAAAATTGAAGTTCTCTTGTTTACAATGCCAGTGTTTTCTTTTAAGATTTATGTATTTATTTTGGAGAGAGCGATGTGCGAGCAGGGTGGGAGGGGGCAGAGGGAGAGAAGAGGACTTCTCACTTCCCCAGCCCGGGCTCCATCTCACGACCTTGAGATCACAACCTGAGCCAAGACCAGGAGTCCGTTGTTTAACCGACTGAGCCACCCAAGCACCCTTACAATGCCAGTGTTTTCTAAAAGGTCAAAGTACTAAAGTGATAGACTATAAAAAAACATTGCTCCTTTAAGAAAAGACTACTGCTTTCCATATGGAACGTATTGATAGTAAGAGCACAGTAAAAATGTTCTCTCAAGTATAGCAAAAAAAAAAAAAAGGCCTGGTCTTTGATCAGTTATTGGAATCCCCCTTGAGCATCAGTCTTTAGTGACCTGCAGCTTCTGATTGTCCACCAGGTAGGGAGACAGGGCGGCCGGGAAGCCTGTGGTGGTGACGTGGGGTAGGGCAGGTTATCTGAAAGCTGCTCACAGGGGACAGGCGTTTCCGTGGTACGACTGTTCAGACCGTGAGTCTCCAGGCCAAGCAGCTGGAGAAGGTGAGGCTCAGTCTTGATTCGGAAGGTCCCATTTCTTCGTGCAGGGCGCAGACTTCCCTTTCTGTCCCCGCAGCTCATCAGAACCGGGTGTCCGCCATCATCTTCAGCCTGGCCGCCGAGTGGGTGATCAGCACCGGCCACGACAAGTGTGTCAGCTGGATGTGCACACGCAGCGGGAACATGCTGGGGAGACACTTCTTCACTTCCTGGGCTTCGTGCTTACAGTATCCTTCCAAGGGCTGGACCTTCTCCTGCCTAGCACCTCCTCGGCTCAGTGGTTGGCTTGGCTTTGAGGATGATCATAAACTGTCAGTTGAGATCCAAAGACTGAGGGATGCCTGTGTATTTCACATGAAATGCAAGACTTCCTGTATCTGCTTTTCTTTGGTATAAAATTGGTGTATTAAAAATAATAATTAGGTGAATTACTGTTCTTATTGGGAGGTACAATCTATTTTTAATACAATATCTTAGAAACCTAAACCTCATTAATGCAAACCCCACCCCCTCGTTCCTTTGCATTTTAAGGTGAAAGAAAAGACTTGTCTGTTGAATAAAGAAAGACCAAAAGGAATCTATCTTTTATTTGGTTATTGGCAGACCCTGAAAGAGAATAGAATAAGGATTTGTGACCCTGGAGTCCATAAATGGGCTTACAGGAGTTTTACAGTTTGTGTGAATGTGTATGGAGAAGGTTCATAATCCTTTCCATATTCTCAGAGTTGCCTCAGGATCCCCGGAATGTTAATGAATTGCTGCTTTCACAGTTTTTTAACCTGTGTATGGAATTTGTTTCATGGAGAATTTGCCCTTGCTTAGGGCTCCCCGTGGTAGCTATCTTAGTGACAGCAAGATTAAGGCTGTCAACAACAGGCAAATACCCCATAGTAGTTTCTTTTTCAGAGTTGGATGTCTGGCGTAGCAAATTCTTTTTTTTTTTTTTTCCATTGAAAGCCTCTATAAAAAAAATGTTTGCTACAAATGAATGCACAGCATGAGATATTTAAAATAAGCATTAAAGCAGTACCATACACTTCAGAATCAAATAAGGGAAAAACATTCAGATATTTGCTAAATAAGTCTTTCTGTTATGTATTAGGCTTTACATATGGATTGATAGAAAAGGGCACAGAATCACAGAATCATGACCCAGCCTGTGATGTTTCTTTTGACCTTTGTTTTGGAATTAAAGCAATGGTTATCCTGATGTGTCTAAACTGCAGATTGGCCACAAATGTCTATGGCCATTAAGTGACTGAGAAAGTAATGAGTTGTTATCAATAGTTAGTTTAAAATTTAAATTTACCACTACCCCAAATAACTGCCTTTTGGATGATTAAACTCTCCATGGCAATTTAAAATAAACCATGCTTTTCATTTAAAGCTGCATCATCCAGGCCAAAGAAAGATAGGTGTTCGTATTTGCTATCGGTTTTATATTATTTCCAGAGATAATTCATAAACAGCCATTTTGTTCCAGTTCTTTCTTGCTGTTTTCATTATTGAGTATTTTACCTTTTTATACTTTATTATAATTTGATTATAACTACTTGTTTTCATGTCTGACTTCTCTGTCAGCTCTTAACCTTTTTTACTGCTAATTCCTAGGGCATTGATTAGAATAGTCCTAGGTACTCCATGAATTCTTGTTGAATGAATGAATGTTAACTTTCCCAAGAAAATTTCCAACTTGAAAGCTTGTTTTCTTAAATTTGTACATATTGCCTGAATTTCAGTTGGGTACTTCCTGTCTCATAGTTTTGTGCTTATGTCTTTAAAATGCACATTTTTTCTGTTTTATAACTTTTAGATGGATTGTGTTATATATCCTTGACTGCTTCTCCACAGATACGATTTTGATACTCAGTATGCTTTTGTTGGCGATTATTCTGGACAGATCACCCTGCTGAAGCTGGAACAGAACTCCTGTTCAGTCATTACCACCCTCAAAGGCCATGAAGGTAGGCTGTGTGATCACCCACAGGTTTTTCACCTAATTTGGGCATCCAGATTCAGTTCTCAGCTCTGCGGCTTCATGAATGATCAGCTCCTGTGACCTGTCAGTTTCAGTTTGATTGGCCAGATGTGGGATTTAGATCTAAAGGACTGAAAGCGAACTGAAGATCGGGTGTTGGGCTGGGTTTCATGTCGTCAAAATCCCTTCCAGATTACTCATGTGGATAATACTTTCTATTTTGTTTGCCTGTTTAAATTATTTTCAGAGGGTCTTTGAAAATTTCTTGTAAATGGTGAGATCTTTAGAAGAATTTTTTTTAATTTGTCAGTTTCTAGGATACTGAACAAGACCTGGTGGAGCAATACAATTAGGAGAAATGTCTGGGCTGGTTCTGCCTCTGCTTGGTTAGGGACTGAGGGGGAAGCACGGATGGAATTTTATTATTTTTACAGTACAGTGAGTTGGCCAGGTTCCATGGAAGGGTTTTAAAATTCAGTTGGCTGTATGGGTAACAAATTAGAAGTTTTGACACCGTTTGGTTTAGATTGAAGAATTGGGGATTTGTTCAAAGAATTAATGAATAACTTATTTATGAAAACAGTGTTTTAAGTATAACGAGTTAAAGGTACTCTGTGCTTCCTAGCTAATCTATTTGGGTGAAATCGAGTGTGTCAAATCAGGGACCTTGTAGAGCAAAGAGGAGAGAGGAGAAGAATAGCAAGTTAGAATGTACTTGGGCAGGAAAGCACAGCCCCTAAGGAAACCACTTGTGTTTATGACTAATGGTCTCATGATCCCCAGGCTCCCAAGTATTCTCTGTGTTGCTAAGGACAGGCTGGGTTCTGGTAACTACTTAGTAGTGTTTATAGCGAAGGCCCATGTTTATCTGCTGTCAGGCCTCTAGCTGAAGTGTATGGGGCACAGGATTAAATTTATGCCTAACTGTTCCCTGAAGCAAGTTTTGCAGAACACTTCTTTTTTCACTTACCTTAAGTTTCTGTGAGAAACTAGTTTCTGTTGTTTGCTTTTGAATATGACTTCATCAGTTTTCTCTATAACCACCAAAAATATTATTAACCTGTATGACTGGCTCTGTTTTTAAGTTTGTTAATAATTTTTTCTAGGCAAGCAGTAATCAGTAGAATATGAAGAGAGAAATCTGTTGAGAGAGAAATCTGTAGAAAGAAAGATTTCCCAAGGATATTGAATCTGATAAGTTCACCCAATAGAGAATGTGAAATGTGAAGTTTGGATTTTTTTAACCTAAATTCTCTGGCATAATTGTGTGGTACACCTACAGAGCATTTTTTTTCTGAGACCCTCAATTTAATTTTCTTAAACATGCATCATGAGGTAAAACACCTGCAAGGTCCCGAAGACCTGGAATAATCTAGATTTTTAGATTACCTAAGTTGACCACAGTAATCTTCACTGTCTTTTCTCATTAAATAGTGTTAGCTTTGTTTTTTTCCTTCAAAAGCTTTTTCTGAACTAACCCCTCACATATAGCTATCGTGTCATTTTTTTGATACAGAATGAAGAAAAATTTCTTTAAACATCTTTGTCTGCAAAGTAGTTTGATGTGCGTCAGAGATCATTACCTTACAACTCTGAGGGATGGATGTGCTCTGTCTTCTCAGTGATCTGTGATAAAGGGTTGGATGACCTTTCGCACAACAAAGATACATTTTTACTTTGGGGCTCAGCTGGTCCTCGTTCAGTCCAGCTATGCCGGTGTAGGGCTGTACCTAACCCCGCCCTCTCTCTCTCCCCTGCAGGTAGCATCGCCTGCCTCTGGTGGGACCCTATTCAGCGGCTACTCTTCTCAGGAGCCTCTGACAACAGCATCATCATGTGGGACATCGGCGGACGGAAAGGCCGCACACTCCTGCTGCAAGGCCATCAGTGAGTGACTGTTTTTGGGGGTGGGGACAGAATTGGAGTCTGCGGGGGTGGGGTGGGGCAGGGCAGCATTCGTATTCTGCTACTGCTTTCTCAAACCCCCATCTGTTAAGACAACCATTTGCTGGGGCTCACTCAGTCCCTTTTAATAGCTCTTCTGTGAGTCCTGAGTGTCTGATGTTCTAGAGCAAAACAGAGCCCAGGGTATTCTTCCTTCTTAGTCCAAAGAGCACTTGCCACTTGCCTCTCCCGAGGAGTCACCCTGTTGAAATACCTGCTTAGGGCACAGGGGGGTTAAGGAGGGCAGATGAGGACTTTCACCATGGAAGACTGCGTGGAATGCCATGCTGAGCCTGTCTCGAACTGGGTGCCCAACTTGTTCTTTTATTCTGACGTGTGGGTGTGGTTTGACACAGTTACCGAAGCTAGGGCAACATAATGCCCAGGCTCTTGCCTTCTGGTTTTGAGAGGAAGAGGACATTGGCCTTTCCTTTCCTCCCCGTTGGTTAGGCTGTTGCTATTTACCATAAGCAGAATCAGGTTGAAAAGTAGCCAAGGAAAGATTTTTTTTTTTAAGATATTATTTATTTGACAGAGAGAGAGAGCACAAGCAGGGGGAGTGGGAGAGGGAGAAGCAGGCCCCCCGCTGAGCAGGGAGCCCAATGCGGGACTCGATCCCAGGACCCCGGGATCATGACCTGAGCCGAAGGCAGACGCTTAACGACTGAGCCAGACAGGTGCCCCCTATTTTTTTTTTTTTTAAGATTTTATTTGACAGAGAGAGACAGTGAGAGAGGGAACATAAACATGGGGAGTGGGAGAGGGAGAAGCAGGCTCCCCACGGAGCAGGGAGCCCGATGTGGGGCTTGATCCCAGGACCCCGGGATCATGACCTGAGCCGAAGGCAGGCACTTAACCAACTGAGCCACCCAGGCGTCCAAGGAAAGATTCTTCACCCAAGTCTGCAGGGCAGGAGATTGTTTCGTAGGGCATCCAGAGGAGGAGTCCGACAAGCACACAGGAAGGGGACAGATTTTGCCCCATCATTGTGTGTGTGTGTGTGTGCGCGCGCGCACGAGTGAGTGCACGGGCATGTGTATGTGTATCAGTCTCTGTAGCATCTCATCACCTGTTCTTATGGGTTGTGTTTCAGTAAGGGAGTCGCCCCTCCTTTGTTCTTCGTTATGCACAGGTAGGTGAATCTTGCAGACCTGAAAAGGAGTGGACCACAGCAATTGGTCCTGAAAACGGTAGCCATCGTCTTATCTGTGGCCTGCAATTCTGAGTGACTGACTTGAAAGTAGTGTCTATTTCATAGAAACTATTAAGCTGTATAATAAGTTACAGAATGCTGATTCAAGTTTAGACTAGAAGCCATAAGACCATACCAAATTGTCGGTGATAAAATGCCAGTGGCTGGTTCCAGCAAGGGGGGAGATTAGAGCCTAAGTGAAGACAGAGTCCGTGTTTCTCCACATCGAGACAAGTGACCGATGTGTGTTGTTTGCAGTGACAGAGTGCAGTCCCTGTGTTACCTGCAGCTCACAAGGCAGCTGGTCTCCTGTTCCTCAGATGGTGGGATTGCAGTGTGGAACATGGACGTTAGCAGAGAGGAGGTAAGAGAATGAGCAGGGCAAGGCTGAGAACCTGGCTTCTTGGCTTCCCACCCTGCTGGCTCTCGATGCTGACCAGGTCACAGACAGCCCCAGCCCCTCTCCCTTGTGCTTACCGGTTATCATCTAACAAGGTCCTGCGTGTCACTGCCCCATGTCCTCTCCCCATGTGAGAGTTTCCACAGTGACAAGCATTGCCCACAGACGGAGCATGTGGGCTGTTTTCAGTCTGGAGACAGTCCCCCATGTCACTGGGGCACGTGCTGTGCCCAGCCCCGGGAAGCACTGTGGTGGCCCCATGGCATCCCTGTTACCCAAAGCTCTGGGAGGCCTGCTGTGACTAGTGTCAGGGACCTTGCCAGGTGCCTCACGTTTTCCTGGGGAAGGGTATCTCTGTCCTCTGCTTTTATTTTCCACTGAGCACATGTCGACACGGTGTTCTTCTCAGGAGCCCTGAGTTCTCATTTGTTGGGGCCACTAACTAGTTGTGAGACCTTGTTCAGAGGAGTGTCATTATCTCTCTTGAGTGTCCGTTCCTGCATCCATAAAGTGGAATCATTCAGTGACACAACTTCCAAAGCCTCTTCTAGTTCTTGAGACAGATACGCTGATTGTCTAAACAACCTTGCCATCATCTTTTAAATTGAGAAATTTTTGACATATATCATTATATGAGCTTCAGGTGGAAACAGCAATTTAGCATTCGTATGTATTGGGACGTGATCCCCACAGTGAGCCCAGTTAGCGTCCAGGACCGCACATCGTTACAAAACTTCTATTTCTTGTGATGAGAACTTTTAAGATCTACTCTCTTAGCAACTTTGAAATACACAGTGCAGCTTTACTTAGCATACTGTACTTCACATCCCCAGGGCTTACGTATCTTGTAACTGAAGTTTGTACCTTTTGACCCCCTTCACCCATTTCCCCCACCTCCAGCCTTCTCCTCTAGCAACCACCAGTCTGTTCTCTTATCCGTGGGCAACTCGGTCTTTTTTTCTATTTTAAATAGTGCCGCAGTGAGCATTCTTGACCTTGTCATTGTGTGATTGTTTGATTATTTATTTCAGACAGATTTCTGAATATAGACCTTCTGGGACAGGGAGATGTACATTCTTAAGGCTTTTTATAGATGTTGTCAGATGACTTCCAGGCAGGATTTCCATTCTCATGTCCACCAGCATGGGTATTATCTGTCTTTTCCAGCCTGTGATGTAAATAGCGGAAGAGTTGCCTTTTTGTTGATTCAGGAGAGATTTTAGTGTGGGGGACAAAGGACTTACAGTTTAACTTCAGACATTTCCTGAGCCCCTACAGGGTGGCTCACAGGTCCGGAAGCAGGTACGTATGCGTCATAAAGGGCTTATGATGCTGCATGGCACCATACACGTGCTGTGACGTCACAGGACGGGTGCAGACCAGGTGCGCCCATCGAAGCAGACCCCAGGCGTGGATGCGCCATTCCCACCACACTGCGCATACGTCTGTTTTGTGTCACCTCCGATTACTTGGGAGTGTCATTTTCACTGACTAAACCTCCATCTTCAGCATACCACAGAAGACATAATCCAGGCAACATTACTCATTCCCAGGCTTTATGGCTGCCATGCTCTTTATGCAGATTCGTGCCTGCTTTTTCTAGGCTTGTAATTTCATGAAGGGAATAGATTGTCCTATAAATAATAAAATGAAGTCCATAATGTGGAGAAGTAGTAACTGTTAGCTTTTCTAGGAGCCTTGTGAGACGAGTTAAGTAGGGGAAATCTTGATTACCTGTGTGCTGGCAAAATATTTTGGTAAGACTTAGGTAACTCATTATTAAATACAGACAACATTGGCTTAATATTAATTATGGACACTTTCCTTACAAAGCTTTATTTTAACTGTGTTTTGCAATAGCTGCTAGTTACAGGCATGGAGAACAGCTAGTATACTGTTCGGTTTCCTGGACCCTTGGCCTGTTTGTTTTGTTGTTGTTGAGAACACAGAAAACTCAGAGGCTGTGTTCCCTGGCTCACATGGGAGGGCGACCCTTGGGGCCAGTGCTGCTGGTGGTTCTCCTAAAGGGCTTTTACCCACTTGGATTTCAATCCACTGTTCTTATCCTTGGTAAATTCTTTTAGGGGAAAAAAATGACAAAATAAAAGCAAGATTCCCACCTTCAGGGTTACACAATTGTGGAATTTATCTGTATGTCTAGGGAAAGAAAAGACAGCCCCATCACTCAGGCTGCTTCCTGTGTAGGCGATTCTCTTTTTAATTGTTTGTGCAAGATTACCCCAGATCACTCACGTGCTGGCTGGTAACACATCGCACTCTACTAGCTTTTCTCTCTCGGTAGTTGACAGTGTTGGTGGGGAAGCAGATTATATCAGAAAGATGCATTATTGGGGCACCTGGGTTTCAGCTCAGGTTGTGATCTCAGGGTCCTGAGATGGAGCCCCACATCGGGCTCCGTGCTCAGTACGAAGTCCACTTGTGATTCTCTCTCCCTCTCCGTCTGCCCCTCCCCCTCCACACGCACTCTCTCTCTAAAATAAATAAATCTTTTTTAAAAATGCATTATTTTTAGTAGTCTTATTAAGTTTTTTAACCAGCTGAGTATAGTGCAAAGGGAAACAGCCTGTGATCTATAAGGTTTTGGCCCTGGGTTAGGGTTTGTACAATTTGTAGGACTTCCTTAGGCAAAGGCATACAGAATTAGTCCCAAATTCTCTAGCCCCACACTGCTTGCTTGGAATTTCTGAGTCACCTGGAAATACTGATTGAGGCAGTTGCCTCCCTGCCAGATCATAATTAGAGGGGCTCCTTTTTGGAAGTAAGCGTGAAATGTAAATGAGCAAGTACTAATTAGAATGAATCCTCTTTTTTTTCTTTTTTTCATTTGAGAGAAATGGTGAGGGAGAGAGCACAAGCCAGGAGGAGAGGCAGAGGGAGAAGCAGGCTCCCCGCTGAGCAGGGAGCCCGATGCGGAATTCGATCCCAGTACCCGAGGATCATGCCCTGAGCCAAAGGCATATGCTTAACCGACTAAGCCACCCAGATGCCCCTAGAATGAATCCTCTTTAAAAGAGAACTTTTTTTTTTTAATTTTTTTTATTCTTATGTTAATCCCCATACATTACATCATTAGTTTTAGATGAAGTGTTCCATGATTCATTGTTTGTGCAT